ATCATGAGAGGATCAAACACATCAAAGTAGATTTTCAGTATATGCAAGAAGGAGTAGATAAATGAGTCATTATTCTTTCATATGTGTCTAATGATCTTCAAATAGCTTATGTGTTTATAAAATACATTGCACGACAACACCATTAGTTTCTAGTAGGCACATTGATGCTTCTTGATCCACTAGTATCAATTTGGGGGGGGGGGTTAGCATGATGGACAACTTGCAAATCATGAATTAGTAGTGAATGATTGTATATACATTAATGTAACTATATAGTGTTATAAGCAAGTGTAATTATGAAAACTTGTTCTAGTGATCAAATAGAATAAATATTGTGATAGAATTACAATTATGGGGGGATATCATGACAGATTTGGAGGGTTCGCATAGCAAATTTAGAGGGATAATATAGTTTATCTTTAGGGATATAAATGATGAATCTTAAAGGTTGTAATGTGTATACTCTCTATATAATGCAAAGGCTCTTCCTTTCAAAGATATTCAACACAATTCTTGACATCGCTTTCCAATTTTATGTTTCATTTTTAATATGATTGCAGAGATTAAGATACATTTCGAGTTAGTGACTCTTTTATATTCTAGTCATAGCCCTTGGCTTTGGTTTGTGATACATATACCATTGAGGATTACTAATTTTGAAATTAAAACAGTACAAACTATATAACATGGAATAAAAATTCCAAAAATTATTTAAGTGTGTTGCAAGTTGAACTATAGTGGATTAGTTTGAATTGTTATATTTGTCTAGTTGAACCTATCCTCTCCCATGCTGACACAAAGACAAAAACAAGAAGAAAACAAAATGACAATTTACTTTCTTTCCATTGAAGGAACATTCCATCTTAGTAAACCACATTTCTGGAGTAGAGATAGGAGCTCATTGTTCCTTCGCCAACAATTAAAGGTTTAATCAATGAAAGTTCTTTTTAAAATGATTTATTTGAGCAATTTATAAAAAGAACTATATTTATAGGGTTAATGAATATCAATAGCTATAAGTATGTTAATTACAATAAATGAATATAATTTATATAACTTTTTAGCTTTATTTTGTATAGTTTTTTATATTTTTTAATTTATACATTACTATATTTTTAAGTAAAACAAGCTAAAAAAAGAATTGACTCTAAATATAACTCATTATCCTTACATTACGTCCATGCAATGAACAATTTCCTTATTAACTTTATAACTAAATATTACTTATTTAAAAACATATCAGATCTTATTCTTTATCAGTTTAACAAAAATTGTGATGCATCATACTCATTTTCTTGTAGTCTCTATATTTCTTATTTTGTCGTCGTAAATGTATTTATACTTTTTTTGTTAATTCAAGTTATTTTCATAAACAAGTTGTTGAACTTGGGATTGAAGGTTAAGTACTTTATTTTGAATAGATGAAGTACATGTCAATAGATACACTAGTTGTTAAACAAAAATGAATACACCAATATACAATACAATGAATATGTTGTTAAACACAAAAATGAATATGTTGAATACAACTATACTTGTATTCTCGAATCAACTTTTTATCTTGGATATATTACTTATAAATCTAGATATAATTGTCTTTGAAAATCAACATTTTAACTTGTGCCTATATAATACTACAAGTATCTATGTATATGAAAATGGATACATTTTGACATTGTTGTTAAGCAAAAATATGGATACATTATATAAATGAGCAAAAAAGATACAATTTGTGGGTATCAAACTGTACAAGTATGAATACATTAGACAAACGGGCAAAAAAAATACGATTTGTGGGTATCAAATTGTATAAGTACGAGATAAATATGTAATTAAAAAGTACTTGATGAATACAAAATCACAAAAGTCGCTCCTGCAGTGATGTAAAGTATCTTGAATTTGAATGAATTTAGGGGGGAGACATAAAATATGTGATGTATGAATATTGATAAAAGAAAAAAAATTAATGATGGTAAACATGGAAAAAAATCACAAATATATGTGCCATAATTATATACGCATTCAATTATAATTACTCTCCTATTTAATATTTATTTATTATATTAAATATATAAAAATAAATATTTATTTGCATAGAATTAACTTTGCTATTTATAGTCTAATTATATCTATATAACATGAGGAAAAAAAATATAGCTAATTTTTTTTGAATATATATGGATGTTTGTCATATTCTAAAGTTTTTCCTTATTTAAATTGAGTACTCATTGTCATTGTTGGATGTTGAAGTGTGTGTCCATAGCATCTAAAAAAATTATTAGGGAGAGCATATTTTTATTATCTAATTATATTCTCAATAGGGGTGGGCACAAACACCGGAAAATTGAAACACCGAACCGAACCGAAATTCTTCAGAATTTCGGTTTTGGTTTTCGGTTCAGTATTCGGTTTAATTTTTTGTATTTTTCGGTATTTTGGTTCGGTTTTCGGTACGTATTATTTTGGTTTTCGGTATTTCGATTTAAATCGAAATATTATACTATAATTTATAAATTAAATTATATTAATTAATAATTATTAATATTAAATAATTTTTTAAAAAAAAGAAAGTAAGAAACCCTATCCCTCCTATTAGGCTATTCCTCTCTCTTTCTACAGATTTTTTTTCTCCTTTCATCTTCCTCAGTTCCTCTCCTCTTCAGCTCTTCTTCCTCTTCCTCTTCTACTCCAGGCTCCAGCCAGAAACATCAGCACTTCAGCAGCGCCGGCCACCGCCAGAAGAAGCAGCAGCGCGCCGTCCACCAGAGAAGCAGCAACGCCGCCGTCCATCAGAAAAGCAGCAGCAGCCGCGAGAAGCAGCAGCACTACAGCAGCGCCGGCGCCCGGCCTTTCGCCAGAAGAAGAAGAAACAGCAGCCTCCGCGTCGCGCCGTCAAGCAGCCAGCAGCAGCAGCGTCGCGCCGTCCGACTCCGCCATCAATATTCAACCAGCGAGGCGTGTATATATATATATATATATATATATATATATATATATATATATTATAGATGGCAGAACAAACACAATTAAATATGGGTGTAGCTGATCAAAGTCGAATAAGTATGGCTGATTCTACGGATAATACACCTAGTAATAGCAATGATCCGTCGATTGGCACAGAAATAACAAAAAAAAGAAATGGATCCTAGATCTCCTGTTTGGCAACACTTTGAAAAAGTTTTTGAAAATGGTGTATTAGTTAAAGCAGAGTGCTTACATTGTAAACAATATTATGCTGCCAATACAACAAGAAATAAAATAAGTGGACTAAAACAACATTTGACTTATCGGTGTAAAGTGTATAAATCTCCAACTGTTGCACCCGGTATTCAAAAATTATTAAATATTCAAAATAACAATTTAGAGGCTTGGAAATTTGAGCAAGAGGTATGTAGGAGAGCTTTAGTTGAGATGATTATTTTGGATGAACTACCTTTTAGTTTTGTTGAAAAAGAAGGCTTTAAGAAGTTTATGAGTAAAGTCCAGCCTTTGTTTCATATTCCTTCTCGTAGAACCATAACAAGGGATTGTTATGAAGTTTATGATGAATTGAGAATAAATTTGAATCAATCTTGAAGAGAAATACAACCAAGAATTTGTCTCACAACAGACACATGGACTTCAGTGCAAAGAATCAATTATATGTGTTTGACTGCTCACTTTTTTTTATAGGGATTGGGTGCTTCATAAAAGAATGTTGAATTTTTGTCCTATCACTAGTCATAAAGGTGAGCATTTGGCTGAGTCTATTAGTAATTATTTACTTGATTGGAAGTTGGATAACGTTTTTACTATTACGGTTGATAATGCCTCTTCAAATGATGTGGCAGTTTTAAAGTTGTCCAAAAAATTAGATATGTGGGGAACTAATTTGATGGAACGTAAGCATCTCTATGTGAGATGTATGACTCATATATTTAATCTAATTGTGCAAGATAGTTTGAAAGAAATTGGTCCTTCTATCAAAAGGGTAAGACAAATGGTGAAATATGTTAGATCATCTTCTTCAAGGACAAGAAATTTCTTGAAATGTGTTGAAATGCAAAGATAGAATGTGATAAGATGTTGTCTTTAGATGTGCCTACTATACTAGGTGGAATTCCACCTATTTGATGTTAGACACAGCAGAAAAGTTTGAGAATGCTTTTGAGAGGTTCGATCTTTATGATGGTAATTTTAATTCTTTTCTTGCTCTGATGTTTGTGAAGATGGAAGTATCGCAGGGTCAATTCAATATGAAGATTGGGCTAATGTAAGGAATGTCTCAAAGTTTCTTGAAAAATTTTATGAACTCACTTTGAAAGTTTCAGGTTCACGGTATGTTACTTGTAATGTTCATTTTGAAGATATATGTGAACTTGATGCTTATTTGAAATTATGTATAGCAAGTGATGACCTTGATTTGAGTAAAATGACTTCGAGAAAGAAAGAAAAATTCAAGAAATATTGGGGGACTCCTGAAAAAATGAACAAAATGATTTTTATTGCTTCTGTTTTGGATCCTCGCAATAAATTTGTGTATGTTAGTTTTGCTCTTGAAGAATTACTTGGGGAAGAAACGGGAAATGTAGTGAATATGAAAGTAGAGGCTTACTTGAGGGATTTGTTTGAGATATATGTAAGTAAATATGGAAAAGGTTCCAAAAGTCAACCATCTTCATCTGACTCATCTGATTCTTCTGCTAGTGGTATTTCTCAAAAGTGTCCAAAAATTCTTTGAGAACTAAGTTGCACATGAAGAAACAAAAGAATGATTCTGGAAGTTTAGGTGTTAAATCTGAGTTGGATAAATATCTTCTTGAAGACCAAGAACCTGAATCTGAAGATTTTGATATTTTGAGTTGGTGGAAAGTTAATTTTCCTAGATTTCCAGTACTTTCATAGTTGGCTCGAGATGTATTGGCTATTCCTATGTCGAGTTCAGCATCGGAGTGTGCATTTAGCACCGGTGGTCGAATTCTAGATCCCTTTAGAAGTTCATTGACTCCCAAATATGTGCAATGTCTTATTTGTGTCCAAGATTGGCTTAGACAAGAAACCAAGCCTATTTGTGTTGAAGAAAGTTTGGAGTTTCTTGAAAAAATTGAACTTGGTAAGACTTTTTATTTTTTATTTATTTATGGAAAAAATAAAATACTTATTCTGTTATATCTTGTATGACATGCTTCTTTTTATTAATTATAGAGATGGCAAATAGTGGAAGAAACTCTTCCATTGTTGATCTATGATTGACTTGCAAGCGGTGAGTTTAATACATCATTTATTTAATCATATCATTTTTTAATCTTAAAAGTGGTATTCTAAGTTTCTAATATTTGATTTTATCTTAAAAGGTCCAAGGGTCAAGACAATGAAGAAATAATTTTGTTGGCACGTGACACTTGAAAGTTGAAAGCAATCTCATGGAAGAAAGTCAAGAAACTCATTATTGTTGTTTGTTATTGTTGACATTTGAATTGAAAGTAATCTCATGGAAGAAGACAAGAAGTTTAAAATACATTGTTTGTTGCTTATTATTGTTTATTATGAGCTCATGAAAGACTTTATTGTTACATGTTAGATTGTTATTATGTTGTATTTGTGAAGACATTAACTACAAATCTAAAATGCAACTTTTGTTTTAGTGTCATTGTGAATTTCAAATTATGTGTTTTAGTGATATTGTGAATTTAAAATTTGCTGTGTTAATGCCTAATGACATATTGAATCATTGATATATTGATATTTGATAGTAAATTAGTAATGCACTTCTTTGATTTATTGTCTATTTTTACTTTTTAGCCCATTAAGTTGAAAAATCAAACAAAAAGTTGAAAAAATTGTAAAGTTTATAATTTTAAAAAGCCCACTAAGCATACCCATTAAAAAACCGAACTGAATTAATAAAATCGGAACCGAATTAACAAAAACCGAATCGAATCGAAATTTTGGTTCGGTATTCGGTACACAATTTACAAAAACCGAAAATCAAAAAAACCAGAAAAAAATCCGAAACCGAACCGAAATACCGAATGCCTACCCCTAATTCTCAACACACCCTCTCACGTGCAGGTCGGTTTTTTTTCCATTGGCCAAGCACGTGGATTTTTTTTAAATATAGGTGGCGATGAGATTCGATCTCACGACATCTGTCTATTCTGATATCATGTTGAAATGTGGAATTATCTCATCTAAAAATTTAAGTTATTACAAAAAATATACTTTTATTATTTAATTATATTCTCAACATTGAAATTAATTATGTGTAATGAAAATACATTTAACTATTTTTGCAGTTTCGCTTAACAAGTAAAAATTGGCTTTCTCCCATCATCTTCATTTCTCTCAGTTTTTGTATGTCTACAAATACATTATTTTATTTTATACCTTGACATATGAGAAAATTATCAAAATAATTTTTTTTTTAAAAAAATACCTTGTCGTTGTTTGTTCCCGTTAAAAATTGAAATTTCTATTTGTTGTGTTATTTTTTACGTTTCCTACGTAAGTAACCAACTACTATAATAATTAACAATTGGTTGAATCTAAATTCCAACTAATTATAACTTAGAAATAAACGAGTCTATCATAAATTAATTTCTTGTGATCAAATCTAAGACGTTCTTTTTGTTCATTTTTACTTATTTTTTATATTATTAAAAACAAATATTTACATTTACTTATTATTATTAATATATCAAGAAAAAATATATATTATGATGAAAATATAATATTAATTAATTTTTTTTAAAGGATGTACAAAATTTAAAATCGATAAATAAAAGTTAAGGGAAGAAATAAAATCTTTTCTATAAATGTGATGGTGATGGCCTATCTACTTATTACTAATTTAATTAATCAAACGAGGGAAATTAGAAAAATCTCTTAATGTCTACAGATTTGACAAAGGACCTAACGTACATGTTGTATAGTCAATCTTTAAATCTACCTTTTTTAATTACGATTATCTTTTAACTACTCTTACATTTAATATACTTTCACGTAACCTAATATTGTTAGGATAAATTAATAACAAATGAACAAGTGAGAACTAGAAACTGTACGTGACCATAAATGTATGAATAGTGATTTGCTAAATTATGACGTCACATTTTTTTTTAATCAAAAACATAACGTAATATAAACATATTGATTTTAATTTATTTGTCTTGCGGTTTTTCAATTTATTTCATAGAAATATCTTTCAGTTTTAATTAATTATTTAAAAGAAAAATATTGAAAATATCACTAAATTTGTTGCGAATAATTATTTTATTTTCAAACTATTGATAGTGTTAAAAATATTTTTTGTTTGACTAATTTTACATAAATACACCCTCAATTTTATAACATGATTGAATTAATACTCTTAAATTTTCACAAAAAAATGTAGAAATGCTTTCAACATTTGTCTCGATTATTATTAAGAGTCACAACTCACATGTTCCTTACCAATATAGAGGTGTTTGATGATTGTCAATAATTTAACAATAAAACTAATAATTTACGCCAAGATCAAAAATATTTTTAATACTCCTCTCTTTTTTTAATTTCAACTTCTTAGAAGACATTCTTAATATCACAACTTTAAACGATTCTAAATATAAAATTATAATGTTCAAAAATCTTATACTGACCAAAAAGTTGAAACAGAGAAATAATTACTTTTTAATAAAAGGAACTTAACACATGTTTAATTAATTATTACAAGGGCGTCGGTGAGGATGAGGGGTGGATATGTAATTAGCACAAAGATGAGAGGTGATATTTGTGGGAAAGAGACAATGTCATATATATATTAAAAGAAATAATAAAAATAAAAAAGAAGTAGTTCACCGACAGAAGCTTGATTTGGGTTGAGAAGAGAAACCGGAAGTAGCCGGTAAGAACAGCAAAGTACAGGCTGTTCACAACCACTTTGCTTGTATAGATCAGTTACCAGTTTGATTGGACATACTGCAAAAATGTCAATCTCCATTAAAAACAGACACCTCATAAATTAATCCTACTTTCACTTTAGCCAGACCGGTTATTTTTAAAAAAATTATGTTGTAGTATTTAATTAAAATTAGTTTTTTTAAAAACAATTTCAATCTTATCAATTTCTTTGGATATGATTTGGTTAATTTTTTAATTTTTATACTTTTAGATATATTATGGTTAAAATACTTTTTTACAAATGAATTTATAAAAATCACTTCAATTCTTCACAAAGACATCAATAATATAAAGTATTATTGTCATGTTTGATCTTAAACATTTAATAGGAGTGAATTTTTGTTGTATTGTTTGATTAGAGTATCTATTATACTATAATTTAATTTAAGCCTAATTAATTAAAGGTTAATTGAATAATAAAAAACCAAAATCATAGACATAACTTATATTTATATTTGAAAAATGTAACAAAATATATTTATATATTACATTTAATATACTGTTAATATATAACATATAAGGTTATTCGGTTCGATTCAATTATTTTTTTCACTTTTTTTATAAATTAAAAAGATCATTTTATTATTTTGAACGATTATATACTTTCATAAAAATTCACAATTTCATTTAAAAAATGACATAAATCGATTCAATTAAGTTTGGGAGATTTTCATCATTTCTTCGATTAAGTTCAATTAAATTTTCATCTTTTTTTGTACGCTCTCACATTAAATTATTCATTTATTTACTAAGTTTTCAATGTACTTCTTAAAACTAATCAGACATATTTGTTTATATAAAAGTTATTTTAGTTGTTATTATAAAAATAGATTCTAAAGGGATTGTTTTACTAGGGAAAAATATAATAATTTTGATATTAAATTTTTTGTATTATGTTTATTTCATACGCATTTTATATTGAACTACAATTTTAAAACTATCATCTTCGAAATAAAACAATAAAATAAAATGTTTACCGTTTTTGTTTTTTAATAATAAAAGAAGACATTTCAAATGGACTATATTTTTAAATTGTATTTTCCAATTCTATCTTGTTTATATAAAAAAAATGTTAAAGAATTAGTTCACCTTATATGTCATTCTAATCTAAATTCGAATTTCCCTAATATTATTTTAAAGATTATATTTTTGAATTTAGAAAAAAATCAATTAATTTTTTACTTTATTTTAGTGACAAGTTCATATAGTTATATAAATTCTGATATTCAAAACAATAAATGTAGATTTTATGTTTTTAACTTTTTTTGAATTATTTGTCTCATTAAAATTTATTGTTGTTTTGTTACAATTCATCATTCTTAAATTAAGTTTATTTTAAACTAATTCTAAATATTAAAATTTAAATTGAAACAGAAGACAAAAGAGGGTTCGATTTCTCTGCATCTAAAAAGTCTAAACCAACCCAAAGCAGATTCCTGGTTACCGGTTAAGCCGGTTAAAATTCCTAATAATGTAATTTAATGTAATAAATTAGTGAAACTAAATCTGTCAAAGAGATGATAAAAGAGAGTACCACTGGCATTAGAATATCAGAGAAAGAAGGTGAAGTAGAGGAGTGATGTTCAGTTGAGGAAAATGCACTGTTTCTTCACATTGGCTTAACCCCTATCAAGATTGATTAAGCTGTGTTTTAAGGTACCCTCTGTTTCTTTGAGGAGAAGAAATGGAGGCAGGTGGTGGAATGGTAGCTGGATCTCACAAGCGTAATGAGTTGGTTAGGATTCGACATGATTCTGATAGTGGGGTATCATTCTCAAATTCTCTGCTTTATCAATTTTTTTTTTTGTTCTTGATTCAATACACTTGTTTTAGATCTGATTTTGATGAAATTCTACATCTTATCTGGATTTAGGTGTTCATGTTGACTCAGATTTCTGATAAAGTTTTGATCTTTTTGTCTATTTGTACCTTAATTTAGTTTTCTTTTGGAGCATTTTGGGTTTTGAGTTAGTCTTCTCGATTCAGTGTTGGGGTTTAGATCTGACCTGGTGATAGTCTGTTGTTGAGATTTGTGATAAAGTTTTGATCTATTCATCAATTTGGACTTTAAAGTTTTCTATTACTACTTCTTTAAGCATATTAGGGCTTGTAATTTGGTGGTTGAAGTAGAGTGAGTTCTTACACCTAGACTGGGGTTCTCCCATGAATTTAGAAGTTTATTATGTTAATCTTGTTTTAGATTTGATTCCTATATCAGGATTTGAGTACTTTTTGGAATGAAATGGATGTATCAAGATTTGAGCTCTCTATAATTATTAACATTTTGCTTTTTCCCCTTTCATTCACTTTTCAACACCCCCACCTCCCATCTGATGTGGTTGGACATCTGATGCATGATCAAATTAAATTTGGGGCCCAACATTGGGTGTAACGGGGTCTTACTATAATACCATGTGAAAATAGGCATTGGCTTTACTCACTCCTCCAAAGCTAAGCCCAAAAGGGAGGAGGATTGTCCAAG